TGTAAAATCATTGAAATGTAAACTACTACCACTAGCCCCCTTAAACTGCTTCCTGAGCAGGATATCAAGCCCCGGATATCTATTTTATGGAGTTTTTGTTTCCTTTCTGTTTTCCCCTTTGTTTCTTTCTGCTGAGATGACGTAAATGTAAACAAGACAAAAGGTATAAAAGCTGTAACCCACAAAAATAAATTTGCTGCGTTTTGGCCATAATCTTCACGCAGCCCTCCAGACTCTACTTTTCTATATTCTTTCTTTTCCGCGCACTCTCTCTCTCAGGTTGAACGAGACATCTACGTTGGCGGTCTCGGGGACTCCTGCGGGTCGGTAGTCCCCCGGCAGACGTGCCGGACCCCAACACGTATGTGCTATGTTCTATTAGAACCTAGCAGTCCTTTGCGGTTCTTTCACCCACTGCGTCTCTGCTGATTCCGTTCCTGGCCGTTTCCTGGTGTTTCACCTTCTGGTTGGGTTAAAGAGTACATGAAATTGTTGGGCACAGAGGACCAGGGAGAGAAAGACTGGCGGACCCAAGTACATCACTGTTGACAAGGGTAACTACTGTCCTTTCCTATTTACCTCCCTGCACTTCTCCTCTCTGCCCTCCCTCCCCACCCACCCTCAGGACAGCAGCAGGAGCCTGGGCGGAATCCCGAACCCCACAAGGGAAATGCTGAGGAGGAGGAGGGGACTGTTTGGGTCTCCTCTTCTCTACAATAGGGACGCCTCCAGGGAACATAATTCCAGCTCCCAGCTCCGGGGTGTCCTGACGCGCGGTCTCGAGGACCCCAGTACCTGCCTGCAGCAGCATCTCCTTGCCATGCTCCAGGTGTCTGAGCAGCCACCTAGTGTAGTGACCCATCAGGGGTTCCCTTGTGGCCTCCTCGATCCAGAACCTCTTCCAGGTGCACTGGATCCTCCGAGCTGTGCTTTGGGGCGCTGTCCAGGTCTGTAGGTCCTCATTCAGAGACATGAAATCTCCCGTCGTATGCGGACTGAGTGTCCCCCGAGTAAGGTCCCGTCTGGAGCCACCACCCAGCCGCGCGGCAGCATCTGCAGGTGTGGGGCCTGGACCTGCCCGGGGTGAGCCCGAGGGGGTACGGAAGGGGAGGGAGGTTGCCCCGCCCAGCCCCTCCCACCCCAGCTCCTCCCTCCCTCTGTGATTAGTCACAGCCGAAGTCAGTCATGATCCAGATTGAAGGAGAAACCGGGAGCAAAATGTCCCCAGAGCTTCCCCCACCCGCAAGGGGTCAGCTAAGGCCCCGCTCTCCACGCCTGGAAGACCCGGACCCGTCAGTGTGGGGCTCGGGGGACACCTGTGCCCGGAGCCTGCCGTCACTCACCGGCTGGCCCTGGTGGTGGTGCCGGCCCAGAAACCTCAGGGTTCTTAGTAACCTGAGGACCCCAGGGCGCGCATGGTGGAGGGAGGCGGAGCCCGGCGGCCTCCAAGTACCCGGGAGTGCGGGCCTGGGCCCCGGGAACCCGCACATTGGGGCAGGAGAGGCGCAGGGAGCCTGAGACCCCGCCCCTGTCCCCTCAGGTCCCCGCCAGCCCCCGGTCTTGGGGACACGCTAGCTCCGCTTCCCCGCGGGGACCCAGCTTCCCGGGCTCCCTCCCATGCCCTGGGAGCTTCTTACTGTGTGTGGAGAGCTGGGGAGGGGACAGAGGGACAAAAACTAGGGGAGGGTGGCGTAGGGCAGCTGCGCTGGGAAAAACGACCTAAGGAGTCTGCAGACCCCAGCCTGGGGCGAAGGCGCCACCGGAGGAGCTGCTGAGCCCCGCAGGCCGCCCTTTCCCTCCAGCCTCCCCAGCCCAGTTCATCTGGATCCTCTCCTCACCTGCCCAGGTCTCCGCAAGGTCAGGATCCACAGAGGCGCAGGATGGGGTTCCGGGACGCGGGATCCGACTTCTCTGGGGATCTTCAAGTCCAGGGAGGATTCTGGAGACATCCCAGTCTATGAAGCCCATTCTCCACTCATTCTGTTGGCTTCTCTAGAACCCAGGACCCAACGGTCCGTCCAGGGAGAAGAACAAGAGCAAAGGATGAGAGGTGGCCATGAGGTCAGGGAAACTCCCGCAGAATTCTCAGGAGAGGAAAATCTTCAGAGCTGGGGCTTTGGCTTGCTTAGTCTTCCCCGCCCAGCCACCAGTCCTAGAGCTGGAGATGCTTAAGTTTAAACCAGAGACTGAATATTTTCTATGAGTGACATAATCCTTGTCTTTCTCTCCTGGAATCGTGGGTCCATCAGAGTCATCCACTCTGCACAGTCTCCTTCTCTCACTCCAGTCTCTCTCCCTGAGCTGGACTCCACCACCCTCACATTATGGAAAAGTGCAGTGTCGTGGGCATGGTCCTGGGACAGGATTGTAGGGGTGCAAATCCAGCTCACTCCTGTTTGTGTGTGACCTTCGTTCCTGTTGCGTTATCTATAACAGGGAAAAATAACAGGCACAAGTCGTAGATGTGTAGTTAGAATAAAATCAGTTTGTATTTTTAAAGTGCTAAGAGCAGTAATTGACAGCACAGTGAAAGTATAAAATATTGTCACTGTTGTCATTCCTTCAGGCCCTTTTTCTTGAGCCCTTCCTCTTTTCTTTGGGTTCCCTCAAAAATTTCCCCTCTGTTGGAAGTTGATGTCAGCAAGTGACCTCCATCCACCGGGGAAATGCTGGCTCACGGTGGGGCCTCCCTTTTAGCAAAGGAAAAAAGTGGTGGTGGACCAGTAGCCAGTGAGTCAGAGACCATTTTATTTAAAAAGGATCACCTGCCTAGAATTAACTCCATTTTGATAAGGACATGCATCTCACAGATAAGTCCAAAGTCCAATGTCATTTGTCAGGAGACTGCTTTGATTTGTTTGTGTAGAACTTACTCTAATGCCTTTCACAGTCTTGCAACACATTTCAAATCTCTGGTTCTGATTTCACACCATCTGCCTCATGCAGTGAAGATGATGAGAAGTGTCTTCATACTGTACTCCCACATTTGTCTACCAGAGTCATAGTCATATATTATATATGTAGGTGTTTTTCCTAGAAGTTTGAGTTCTATTGATATATATTTTAATCTGGAATAGATAGGCTTTAGCTACCATTTTTGTTTTTATGACCCCTAAATTACACATGCTTAAGGGGTCACTACTGATACCTATGTATTTTCTCTCTTGGGAACATTGAGATAAAATTTGTACACTGTACTTTAGTTTTCAGCAATTACTAATTAGGTAATTTGTATCACCCCTCCCATTGAGTACTACTGGACAAGTGGGAAAAGAGTGCATATTTGAAAAATCTGATTGAAGGTACAGATGGGCTAACCAAGCAGTGAAGATTTGCCAGGCCAGGAACCAGGAGAAGGCAGAAGTCTAGAATGTGGGGCTGCTTTTGTCGTGGGTGATGTTTGCTGGTCTGGGCAGAGTCTGAGACCCTCGAGAGCTAGGGGGATAAAGGCTACATCTAAAGGCTGCAGGGTGCATATGGGGCACCATAAATTCCTGGGTTTAGGATGGGTCCCAAAGGGCTGACCTGCAAGAGCAACCCAGTCAGTGCTCAGGAGTTACAGCTCAACTTTTGTTTGTTTGGTCCAGCAATTTTCACTGCCCTTTTTAAACATTGTAATTGAGGATCTTCCCAGTGTCTTAAAGGGAGAAAATAAGTACACATAAATTGATTTGAAAAGAAGGTATGGAACTCTTATAATTTGCAAATGATAATATGCTGAATGCAGACAATATAATGATTAGAACCTTCTTGAACTTAATAAGATAGCTTTGTATGGCAAGTAGAAAAAAATGATAGGGCTGTTTTGCACAGATAGAAGGTGAAAATTTAAAATATTGATACAGCAAAAGTGCATATGTATAAACTTCTAAATCTAAACCTAACAAATTCTGTACAAGATATCAATTGGGATATTTAAAAAATCCTCGGAGTAATTAAAGAAGACAATGAATTAACTGAATAAATTTACCAACATCCTGGCTTGGATGATTTGATATTGTCATGATATTTATTTGCTAAAATACTCTTAGAACTCACATACATCTCAATCAAATTTTTATCAAGCATTTTTGTGACATTAAGCTGATTTTAAGCCTTATATATAAATATGAATGAAATAGCTATGTCACTCTAAAGAATAATGAGCAGAGAGTATGACCTTAGCAGATACTAAGAATTATATTAGAGCTATTTTAATAAAGAGAGTCAGGGTGTTGACACAGGGGCAGTAAACTAGATCTTTGGAACAGAATAGAAAGCCCTGAACATGTGTAAAGCAGAGGTAAACTTACAGATCAGCGGGTCAAGGAGAACTAGTGATTAATTTGAGAACAATTGGATATCTATATGGAAAATGCAATTGTAGTCATCTCATGTGAAAGATTCTTTAAAATAATATAGTAGAACAACTTCATTACTTTAGTGTAGGGAAAGATTTTTATATAGGTCACAACAAAGTATTAACCCCGGGGTAACCTTTGACAGAACTAGACATTAAAGTAGAGCTGGATTATCTTGGGATGATGAAAGTGTTCTAAAATTAAATATGTTGATTTAAAACTCTGAATATGTGAAAAATCATTGAATTGTATACTTTAGATGGATGAGTAGTATGCAATTTGTATCTCAAAGTTTAATGAAGAAAATATAATGAGATATTTTGACAAATCCACTAGAATTTCTAAATAAAAATCTTTGACTATTCCAAATATTAATGAGAATATGGCCCATCAAGTGCTGCCACACTGCTTGCCACAGCCACTTTATCTAGCAGTGTGGCATCATCTCTTTGAGTGGGACACACACACACACACACACACACACCAGGAATTGCACTCCTAGGCGTACAATTTTGAGAGATATGTGTTCGTTGTGCCAACATACATTTGCAAGAATGCTTATAACAACATTGTTTATAATTTTAAAAATCTGGACACAAATGAAATGATCATCAATGAGATAAGGGTGAATTTAATATACGGTTTATTTATTCAATTAAATGTTACAAATAGTAATCATGAACACTCTACAGACACTGATAACAACTTAGCATTTGATCTACAATAAGGTCTTGTAAGAATACAGACAGCATGATGTCATTTGTATGGAAAACAAAATTTAAAGTTTGAGAAAACCTGTGTTGTTTTAGAGATGTATGCATCGGGGTAAAGCTTTAAAGAAAGGTGTTACTATATCGATAGTTTCTTTTACTGTGCAGAAACTCTTTAGTTTAATTAGATTCCCTTTGTCAATTTTAGGTTGTTAACTTGAAATCTTTTGAACTTTTTGATGGGGGCATTTAATGCTATAAATTTCCCTCTCAACAGGGTCTTAGCTGTTTCCCAAAGATTCTCGTACATTGTATCTTAGTTCTCATTATCTTCAAAGAACTTCCTGATTTTTGCCTTAATTTCATCATTTCCCCAAAAGTCATTCAAGAACAGGTCATTCAATTTCTATGTAATTGTATGGTTTGAGTGAATTTCTTAGTCTTGATTTTGAATTTGATTGCACTGTGGTCCAAGAGACTGTTTGTTCTGATTTCAATTCTTTTGCATTTGTGGGGAAGCATTTCGATTCCAATTGTGTGATCCATTTTAGAGTAAATGCCATGTGTCAATAAGAAAAATGTATATTCTGCTGTTTTCGGGTAAAGAGTTCTGTAGGTATTTCTCAGGTCTATTTGAGCCAGGGCTGAGTTAAGGTCCTGAATATCTTTGATAATTTTCTGACTTGATGATCTGTCTAATATTGTCAGTGAAATATTAAAATCTTTCACTATTATTGTTTGAGTTTCTAAGGCTCTTAAGGAGTTAGAGCTCCTTGTGGAATTGAACCCTTTACCATTATGTAATACCCTTCTTTATCTTTTTAAATCTTTGTTGGTTTAACTCCTGTTATGTCAGAAACTAGGATTGCAGCCTTGGCTTTTTTTTTTGCTTTCCATTCGCTTGGTAAATTTTCCTCCATCTTTTTATTTTGAGCATATGTGTGTCATTGCCTGTGAGATGGATGTATTAAAGAGAGCATACTGATAGGTCTTGGTTCTTTATCCAGCTTGCCACTCTATGTTTCTTAAAATGGAGCACTTAGACAATTTACATTTAAGGTTAGCATTGATATGTATGGATTTGATCCTGTCATCATGATGTTAGAAGGTTACTTTGCAGACTTGCTTATGTGGTTGCTTTATTGTGTCACCAGCCTACGTACTGAAGTGTGTTTTTGTAGTGTCTGGTAACTGTCTTTCCATATTTATTACTTCCTTCAGGAGTTCTTGTAATGCAGGTCTGGTAGTAATAAATTACCTCGGCATTTGTCTGAAACGAATCTTATTTCTCCTTTGCTTATGAAGCTTAGTTTGGTTGGATATGAAATTCTGGCTTGGAAATTCTTTTCTTTACGACTGTTGAATATTGGCCCTCAATCTCTTCTAGGTTGTAGGATTTCCACTGAGAGATCAACTGTTAGTCTGATGGACTTCCCTTTGTAGATGATCTGGCCTTTCTCTCTGGCTGCCCTTGACATTTTTTCTTTCATTTCAACCTTGGAGAATCTGATGATTATGTGTCTTGGGGATGATATTCTCATGGAGTAACTTACTGGGGTCCTCTGCATTTCTGAATTTGAATGTTGGCCCGTCTAGCTAGCTTGGAGAAGTTCTCATGGATGACGTCCTGAAACATTTTCTAAATTGTTTTTGTTCTACCCACCTCTTTCTGGTATGCCAATCATTCCTAGATTTGGTTTCTTTACATAATTCCATGTTTTTCAGAGGTTTTGGTCATGCCTGTTCATTCTTGTTTTTTCTATTCTTGCTTTCCTGTCTTATTTCAGAAAGCCAGTCTTCAGGCACTGAGATTTTCTTCCTCCACTTGCTTTATTCTGCTCTTAATACTTGTGAGTGCACTATGAAATTCTTATAGTGTGTTTTTCAGCTCTATCAGATTGGTTACATTCTTCCTTTTACTGGCTATTTTGTCTGTGAGCTCTTGCAATGTTTTATCATGATTTTTAGCTTCCTTGCTTTGGATTAAGTGGACTTTTTTAGCACAATGAACTTCGTTTGTATCCATATTCTGTTGTTTCAGCCATCTCAGCCTTAGCCCGGTTCCATACCCTTGCTGTGATTTTGAGTTTTAAGCATGTGTTTCTGATTCCTTCTCATTTTTGCAGGTTTTCTACCTTCGGTCTTTGAGGTTGCTAACATTTGAGTATATTTTGTTTTTCTCTTCTTTCGTTTTATCTTTTAACAGTTTGGCCACTTTTCTGTAGGGCTGCTGCAGTTCTCTGAGGGGATGATGATCCAGTCCCTAGTTGCCTCAGATTTTTCAGTACCTGGAGGTATTACCAGTGAAGGTTATGTAACAGCAAAAATGGCAATCTTCTTCTTCTGGGAGGTCAGTTCCAGCTGTTGCCGGCCTGAACACACCTGTAGGAAGTGCTGGAGACCCTGGCTGGGAGGTCTTGCCCAGTCAGGAGGAACAGTATCAGGATCTAGAGGTTTACCAAAAAGAAGGAATACTCTCTCAGGAGATATAGAAATAATACCATTCACCTTGAAGCTAAGACAGACACCTGGCCCATTCAGCTCCTCATACTTCTAAACCAATAGACAAAGGAAGGAATTACTGCACTGTCTGGGGTGATTGGTCCTGGTCATCAGGGGGAAATTGGTCTGCTACTACATAATGGCAGTCAATAAGACTATGTCTGGAACACAGAATATCTTTTAGAGCATCTCTTAGTAATCAGCCCTATAATTAAAGTCGATAAAAACTACAACAACCCAAGTCCAGTCAGACTACTAATGGCCCATATTCTTCAGGAATAAAGGTTTGAGTCACCCAAGCAGGAAAAGAAAGCTGATCAGCTGAGGGACTTGCTGAAGACAATGGGAATATAGGATGGTCAGTAAAAGAAAAAAAAAAGTATTTATAAATACTAGTCATGGCCAGCATGGTGGCTCATGCCTGTAATCCCAGCACTTTAGGAGGCTGAGGCGGGCGGATTGCTCATGTCTGGGAATGTGAGACCAACCTGGGCAACATGCTGAAACTCTAACTTTACTGAAAATAAATACAAGAAATTAGTCAGGCTTGGGGGTGTGCTTGTAGTCCCAGCTACTTAGGAGGTTGAGGTAGGAGGATCATTAGTGCACAGGAGGTAGAGGTTGGAGTGAGCCGAGGTAATGCCACTGCACTCCAGCCTAGCCAATACAACAAGACCCTATCTCAAATAAATAAGTAAACAAACAAATAAATAAATAACAAGCTGTAACAATGTGACCATCTACAGAAATAATGACAGTAAGGGTTATGAGTATTACTTCCTTATGTTTTTATAATGATACTTATGTCTGGGTGTATGTATCCATACATGTATTTAGCAAGTGCTTTTCTTTTTATCTTTTCCTTATCATCTTGTAATAAAACATAAGATGTGCTAACAGTAGTTCCCTTTTATTAATGATGGTTTAATTTTTATTAAACGTGGTATTTAGGTTACAGTATGTCAAAAAGAAGAGTGTATATCATGCATCCAGTTTGAATCTTTTTCTGAGGAAAGGGTTAGTGTGTTTTTAATTGGATGCAAGATAGCTGTACCATCTTTTGCAAAAGTATGACTTTATAGTTGTTCTCAATTGGAGACTAAGTATGTTTTAAGAAATTGTTAATGGCTGCCAAGTTCACAAACAAGGATGGAATGGTTGTTCTTTTTTTTTTTTTATTGACAGAGTTTCGCTGTTGTTACCCAGACGAGTGCAATGGCACGATCTCGGCTCACCGCAACCTCCGCCTCCTGGGTTCAAGCAATTCTCCTGTCAGCCTCCCGAGTAGCTGGGACTACAGGCACGCACCACCATGCCCAGCTAATTTTTGTATTTTTAGTAGAGATTGGGTTTCACCTTGTTGACCAGGATGGTCTCGATCTGTTGACCAGGATGGTCTCGATCTCTTGACCTCGTGATCCACCCACCTCAGCCTCCCAAAGTGCTGGGATTATAGGCATGAGCCACCGCGCCCGGCTTGGAATGGTTGTTCTTATGTGTCAGTTTCACTAAACCATAGCACCTGGTTATTTAGTCTAACACTAAATTTAGATGTTGTTATGATAGTATTTTGCAGTTGTGGTTAAAATCTGATATCAGGTGATTTTATGAAAAGGAAATTACCCTTAAAAATATGCGTAGGACTTTTTCAATCAGGTGAAGGACTTTGGGTAAAATGTGAGTCTTCTCAGAGAAGAAAAAATTCTTCCTCAAGATGACAGTAGCAACTACAGTTTAGGTTTCCAGTCTTCCAGCCTGGTCTTCCATTTGAGACTGACTTTCCAGCCTGCTAGCCTGCCGAGGTGTAATTTGTGATATTAATAACATAAAATGAGAGGTGGAAAAAATGTAAAGAAGCAGAGTTTTCATATTGGTTTCAATTCAAGATTGTTATAACTGTATTGTTATATGCAATACCACAGAAATCACAAATAAAATACAGATAAAATATACACAAAAGAAAACAAAAAGGCAATTACAACATGTCACTAGAAAAAACTTGACTAAACACAGGAAGGTTGGAATGAAGGAGATGAGGGCAAAACAACTATAAGACATGCATAAAACCAACATCACAATTACTGAAGTTCTTACTATGACTAATTATCTTAAATGTAAATGGGTTAAAATCCTCAATCAGAATTCAGAGATTATCACAATGGCTAGAATAAAAATAATCAAATCATATCCTAGCTACAAGATACTCACTTTGGATCTAGGGACACATAGAAGTTGAAATTGGAAGGACAGAAAAGGATATTCATGAAAACAGTAACTAAGAATTTTTTATGATCTCTCACAGGGTTCTATGTGTTGGGTGGGTTCAGATGATGTCCTGGGAGTTTTACACGGTTCAGGGATTGAAGTGGAAGGAAACACATGCAGGCAGGATGGTTAATAACAGTGCCCAGAACTAACACAACCATCCTTTGCCATATTTCATTGGCTAACACAGATATCAGATCTACTTATGTTTAAGAGGGTGGAGAGAACTTACCTCTTGATGAGGGAAAGGTGGGTCAGACTAAAGAAAACCGAGTATGATGGCAGATATTTTTGCAGTCCTTTTTGGAAAATGCATGCAATCCAGAACATCCTATCTGCCAGAAAGCAAGAACACAATCATGCATTACCACTCAATTCTGAGTCCTGTGATTCTATATGTTGGAAACAATTGCTTGAAATCACAAAGAAAATGAACACTTAAATGAAGAATTTCTCAGGAGGCAATTCACTTCTGCAGAAGGGTGCAACTCACACTCTTGGCCACTGAGAGAGCACACTGAACAAAGGAGAGAAGGAGTTTTTATCCTAATGCAGTCCCTACTTCTGTGTCCTTCTCCCATTGGCTAGGGTTGGACCATGCAATCTAAGTTGACCCCAATTGGCTATTGTGTAGCAATTTCCAAATAAGGGAGGTGGGGATCGGTTACAAACATGATGGGGAGAGATATATCCAAGCACCTCCAGGCATATCCAGGCATGTCAGGCACAGCAAAGGTGGGAAAGATTACTTGCAGAGTCAGGAACAAGGAAGTAAGTAGAGAGGCATATTTTTTCTACACATAGGAACTGGCAGGAAAAGTTGTTGACCAAGCAGGTGACTAAGGTAACTATGGGACAAAGAGGTACAAGGACAAGGAAGTTGCTTTGGAGAACAAAGAACATCTCCTTCCCTCATGTCCTTCCAAAGAAC